GATAGATAGATAGATAGATAGATAGATAGATAGATAGATAGATAGATAGATGAACAACATTTTTGCAGAACTATAAATATGTTGAGGTCTTTGAGGCAAGCAGCTGGGGTTGGCTATGACAGGTGGTTGGGAGGGGAGGGATGAGGAAGGTCTGGGCGTTGCAAATAATTTAACAATCAATTCTCTGCCCAATGACTGGCTGGGTAGGTGTGGATGGGGGTGTGCCATGTGACTGAGTGGGAGCGAGTGAGGTTGAGTTGGGCCACGCCCACCCAGGTTTTTGGCTCCGTGTGTTTTCTTTTCTGTGGGGAATGGGTCCAAATGGCTGTTTGAGTGTTTAAGATTGCAGACCTCTGTTCTAGACCAAGCCTTTGGAAGGAGTTTCAATACTATTCTGGACAATATCTCTCCAGTCTCTTCTTTTCCACAAATGTATAGTTGCTCATTCCATTCCAATTATTGAGATTTCAATGAATACATCATAAAAGGCATTCACCTTATGGAAGATTAGTTTTAGAGAGAACTATTCAGGTTTTACTATATCAATAATAATATTAAAATATCAGTTACATTTTGCAGTATCACTGAAGTCACAAATAAGCATATCAACAATTTTAGGGACCTATTTCATTACAGCAAGTAGAAGTCCTTGGATCGTTCATTTATTTGTTTGCTTGATATATATCCTGCCTTTTGCTTTAAGACCTCAAAGGGGCTTTGATGGTATTCTTATTCCCAATAAATAAGATGGTGATCTTATCACCGCAATAATTCAAGTTATGATGTAGGCAAAACACAAAATGTGTCACATGCCAAAGAACTCATATGAGCTGAAACAATTAAATACTTGCCTTTGCATCCACTTCTGGATCATCAAAAAATCCCTCCGGTAAGGCCTCTGCAGTGTTTTCTCTTCTGAAATGTTAAGGTAATAATTAATACCTTGAAATACTGTAACAAATGAACTATTTAAACTGAAAGTAAGAGTAAGTAAAGATCATAGTACTTAAGCCATCTTAAATAATTAAGCCAACATAACGCCATCTTAAAATATAATACAAGTAGTCTTTGCTTAATGACCAGTCATTTAATGACCATTTGAAGTCAAAGCAGACCCCTATAAGTTACTTATGACTTGTCCTTGATGTTTTGGCTTCTGCAACACCTCTTGCAATCATATGATCACATTCAGATGTTTGGCAACCAACTCGTGTTTATGACTGGCTGCACTGTCCCAAAGTAACATGACAGCGATATGCTACATTTTTTGCTGGTTTCTGATGTTTTTTGCTGGTTTCCAACAAAAAATGCCCATTTAAGAGAATGGATTTACTTAATGACCATATGGTTTGCTTAACAACCATAGTGACTCACTTTATGACTGTTGTAAAAATGGTATTACGATAATTATGATACAAATTCTGTGATTCCTTACACCATCTTGCATTGTTCCTATTATATTAATAAATTCATTAGCAAGCCAGTGACTATTGATAAGTATAATTTTTTTGTTTTCCCTAGTTTGTATTTTTAGCTTTCAGTTTTTTGAAGTTTCCCTTTTTTTAGATTAAGGACTATTTAATCCAAAAATATAAAAATATTAATCAGGATCAACAACTCTTGGCTCTGCACACTCAAGGCTCCAATAAAATTAACAACCCCCGCCAGGCTAGGAAGGCTGGCGCGACTGAACACACTCTGGCTGAGGTTACTGACAAGGGATTGTCTCCGCCGCACAGCTGACAGGCGCTGAGGCATGAAAATCCATTTACAAAATGGCGCAAGCGCAGCCCCAAACAAAAAGTAAAGGAGCGTGCCAAGGCTGCAAGAGGCTGGCACGATCCTGGCGGCTTCCAGCTCAACCCTGACAACAGGGAGCAACTGTGAAAGGTGGGAAGCAATCCCCCCCTCCAGCAGCACCCCCAAAGTCTTATCCTCCTAAGCGTGGGGTGTGGGGGGGAGGCGCTGATATGGGCCATCCCCCGTTCTCAAATCCGCAGCCAGGAGAGATCCTGAGGAACATCACCAAGGAGGCAGAACCTCAGAAAATTCAACTCAGTCCATAGAGCTAGAATCTAGAAAAACCCATCCTGACACTTCCCATCAATAAACTATGTGGAGAACAAAATAACTAACATTTTATTTTGTGCTTCAAAGTCCAAATTATATATCTTTATTGCATAATACTACATAATGGTATTTTAACCATGTTTCTATTTCTATCCCCAAAATACAATCATGGAAATCCTATCATTATCCAGGATTCTTTTATACCTGTCTTTTTGAAGAATTGTAACCTCTCATGTGAACTAACCAGAAACGTCTAAAATTTTCTCTTTTACCCAAGAGAAATATATCACTTGGGAAAATAGTTGTACCATGGTTGTAAAATCAAAATCACAATTCTGAATACATGTTGGTATGAAAGAGATCTGCTTTGGTTTCTAGGGCTAACTAGCAAGATGTCTACTGTCATACAGCTTGGCAAAGTAATACATACTTTTCAAACTGCCATTAGATTTTTTAAAGAAAAGTATGGAACCCAATGAGAGAAATAAAAATACAAAGCAATAAGAAATCTCTATCCAACAAAAATAACTCATATTCTCTATGTTGATTTCCACTAAAGGAAAACACAAATAGATATTACTATACACTTCCAAAACCAACTCACTGAAATATTTTATCTACTGACTGGAAACACTGTCTCATCTTTGACAAATTTTAAAAGTAATATTCAGTTATGGAGGATTGAGAATCCTAAGTTTTCTAATAACGATAATAGCAATAGCAAACGTATGGATATTCATATCTATTATTATTTATATGAATGCCAGGAAGAATTGTTTTGACTACCGTATTTTCGGAGTATAAGACGCACCTTTTTACCCCTCAAAAGGGGTTGAAAATTTAGGTGCGTGTTATACACCGAATGTAGCCCTACCCACCCACTTGCCCCCATCCTTTGGCCTCTGCCTCCCAGCAGTTACCTCCTTGCAAGCAAACATCAAGAAAAAACAGCTCCATTCAGCTTCGGCATAGGCTAATTAGCACAAGTTGATTAGATCGGCCTCCCGACTCTCAGCTGATTTGCTCTCAGCTGTTTTGCGCAGGCTCTTTTGCAAGCTCTTTGCTTGCTGCAAAGAGTGCTGGAACAGATTTTTTTCCCCTAGCTAAAACGAAACTGAAAGTAAAGCAGGCTCTGCTGCAATGTAAGGGACTCCTTACACACAGTCACTCACACCCTCGTCACCTCCCGTCTGGACTACTGCAATGCTCTCTATATGGGGCTCCCCTTGAAGAGCACCCGGAGGCTCCAACTGGTCCAGAATGCAGCCGCGCGGGTGATTGTGGGAGTGACATGGCACTCCCATGTAACACCTCTCCTGCGCGAGCTGCACTGGGGCTTCCGGTGGTCTTCCGGGTGCGATTCAAGGTGCTGGTTACCACCTTTAGAGCGCTCCATGGCTTAGGACCCAGGTATCTTCGAGACCGCCTTCTGCTACCAAGACCGTCCCGCTGGCCAGTACGATCCCACAGAGAGGGACTCCTCAGGGTGCCGTCGGTCAGTGTCGGCTGGCGGCCCCCAGGGGGAGCCTTCTCTGTGGGGGCACCTGCCCTATGGAATGAATTGCCCCCGGAAATAAGGAGGATTCCAGATCTACGCACCTTCCGCCGCGCCCTCAAGACCTTTCTATTCTAACAAGCCGGGCTGGCCTCTTTTAATTGAGTAATTTAGTTCTTAATTTGATTTTAAATTGGGGGTGTTTTGTCTGGGCCAATACTATTTAATTTGTTTTAAACTATTTTTAAATTTTGTATTCTATGTATTTTTATCTTCGGCTGTGCACCGCCCTGAGTCCTTTGGGAGAAGGGTGGTATATAAATTTGAACAATAAATAAATAAATAAATAATGTGACAAAATGAGGCAGGGAGAGAGATTTCTTTTTCTTTTTGCTCACCAAAAAAGGTAGCTGCAAACAATGGGAAATTTAGAGCAAAAGAGGAGAGTTCAAGATTTTAAAACACAAAAGAAAAAAAGGTCTATTTAACTAGGGAATTGTAATAATTGAGATGCTATTAATTGTATATTGTGTTGAAAGCAGAAATGGTTAAGTTATGGTTTGGAGGAATATATGGGGGAAATTATTTGGTTTATTATTATTGGTAAATATAATTAATTGATTTGTAAGAAATTGGATTGCATGGAAATAATTGGAATATTCATGTTCATATTAATATACAAAAAACATAGTTATAACTAATTGATTTATATAAAAATGTTGAGTTTGTATTAAATAATTGTAATATTAAATAATTAACCAATGTGAGGCTGGATATAAAAATAGATGACAATGGGAAGGGATATAATATAGAATAGAAGGGAAAAATTGAATTTGATTAAGATTAGAGATGAGAATGAAGGGTAATATTGGTTTTTTTAAAAAATAGATGAGGAATAAATATGGCAAAAAGGAAATATAGAAATTGTAAATTTAATTGAAATGACTAAACCCTGTTTAAATTTGTGAACCAGCCAAATACTCTGTTCAAAGAAAATACATTGTATGTTTGTATGTATGCTTGTCTAAAAAATAAAAAAAACTTTAAAAAAAATACAACAACCAAAAAAGGTAGGTGCCTCTTATACTCTGGTGCGTCTTATACTCCGAAAAATACGGTATATTAAAACAAAGAATACAAAAATGAAAAATCAAAGGAAACTGATATAAAGAACTGGTTTTAAAATTGAGAAAAAGTGAAATACTTGAGTATTACTGTAGCTAATACGAATTGTATAATTCATATTATACATATTATACATTATATATTCAGATAAATTATGTTCAGATATATTAAAACGGGAGAAATTACAATTGTCATTGTTGGGGGAGAATCTCTGTCATAGAATTGATGTTTTTATTTCAAACAATTTCTATTTTGGCAACTAATGCACCATTTAAACAATGGCAATATTGAGGGCAAAAATTCATATAAAACTTTATCATAACTTTTGAGGAAATACTGAATTGCAGTATTTGTAATAACTACAGGAAGATCTTGCCTAGCAATTACCCTGTTTAACAACTAAACAACAACTAAATAACAATTACCCTGTTATGACAATGCTGAAAAAGTAACTTTACAACCAGTTCTCTCATTTACAACTATTGCAGCATCCTCATAGTCACATGATCAGTTTATCGGCAACCAGTAGGTGTTTACAGACACTGCATTATCTATTGCCCATATAGTCAACATTTATGCACTTCAAAACCAACTTCTGAAAAGCAAAGTCAATGAAGAAGCCAGAAGTAAAATCGCAAGTCACAGTCATATGATGTCTTAACAGCTTGCTGTTTCACTTAACAACTGAATGAGAAGTGACATTATAAATCTGTCAGTCATATAATCTTTTACTTAGCAATCAAATTGCTTAGTGACTGTTGCCATTTCCAGTTGTTGTCATTAAGCAAAAACTACATATAATGCTATAAGTAATTTAATTTTCTGATAATATCAATTAAATGTACTATCAATTAAATACTTAATTCTAATTAAAGGGCAAAATAATTCAGATTAAAATATTAATTTTTGTTCTAGATACTTGACCTTTGGTGATTTTTTTCTTCTGGTTCTGCCTTCTGTACAGATTCTGAATGGGATAACTGAGGAGTAGCTAAAGCATTGTTCTCCAAGTAGTCTACAAAACACAAGGTTATACTTAAGCACAGCCTAAAAATATGTGATTTTTAGATATAGATATATATCTAGATAATAGATACATTAATTGTGACTAGTACAGGAAATAAACTGAAAAACGTTGGTTTAAGATTCTTTCTATGTAAATCGATACCGAAAGATCAAGTTTAGAAGGAATTGAGCAAGTAATTCTGGTTTGAGATTGAGATTAAATTAATGCAGTTTGAACAGATATAGGTTGAAAGAACAGCATGCATAGCGAACTATGACAATAAATACAATGTCATTTTTGCACAAATGACGCTACTATTTCTATACAGAACTATTCCATTCTTGCAATCCAGCATTTCCATTATTCATTTCAATATTTACTTCCTTTGCCCGGGTGTGGATGCCCATTTATGGAGACATTTCAAGAGATCCACTGGTGAAGTAGGTTGAGCTTTATTTGCAGGCTTAACCTCCTCCTGCTCTACTTCACTGAATGCTAACAATCAGTTAACTACAGCATGTGTCTGTGAAAGCACTGGTGACCATGTTAGCACTAGCTGGGATATTAATAAATTGCTCCAGATTGATTCTCATAATCTGGGTCTACTATTAGTTCATATCCATGCACACCTCATCTATCATGTCAGTCATGTTCAGGCTTTTGACATGAAAAGTGCTGAGCCTGCCTAGGCACAAAAAACAGGAAAGAAATGTGGAAGAAATAAGCCTGTTTAAACATCTAACTCTTTCTGTCTCCTGCAACCATGATACTGCTGAAAATACTCCATGAATACTCCATGAAAAAACCTGGAGTCAAGGCCAATCAAAGAGAGAAGGCAGTAAAATCTGTCATCTTCCATCTCAATGAGTGATGCTTATGGAACACCATTAACTGATGACATTGGACTATGCTGTTACTGCCACTTGAGGACTGCTTGAGGGGAGGAGGCAGGCTTTTAAACTCAAATAAGGGTTGACCTGAAAAACAGTGAAAAGGAAGGCTAAGGAAATCCTTCTCTTTCTCACTATTATTTAGCTAAACAATAACCTGCTCTACGATAGTGAATAAAAATGAAACTAAATAAAATAAAATGGGAGTGGGATATGTAGATCGCCTCAGAGACAAATAGGAGGCAACCTGATATTTTTCACTAGTCACCACCACACCAGAGAAATACTAGATAAGCATTAAATTCAAAGGTTCCAAGCAGCAATTGTTAGTTTCATATCTTGCACTCCAATCAGCTCTTGATTGGTTATGTACGGAATGACTTCTTTACTGTCGGCACTATTTAAACACTTGCTTCTTTACTTCAAAATTCCATCCAGATAACCTCATAGTAGGGACATAACTGTCCACTCCCATATTGGCCCAGACAGAACTGCTCCCCACACAAAAGCAATTGCAAAAGTCAAAAATTTTGTGTCAAAATGCTTTGCATATATCTAGAAGCTAAACTATTTCTTCAAGATAAATTAAGCTTGTATTCATGTCATCTTTGTCTTGTGACCTTGGACCATGAGGTTTGGGGGGGGGGGTTGGGTATAGTTATTTGATGGTATTTAAAAATGCTAATCTTACCTGTTGATGAACAGGGCACAAGTTCTGCTTTTGGAACAGAATCTGAAGATAATTCAAACTGAGCTGGGGTTGGCAATGAAGTTTTGCTGTTCCTCTCTCTAATTTCTTTTGTCATTTCTTCTTTCTCTCCTTCCTCTGTTTCATGATTTCCTAGTAAGGCAGCACTTGAACCTTTTGAAGATATTATTTCTACTTCTGTTTGCTCAATTTTGTCAAAAAAATTTTTTGGCAGCCTAAAAGAGAAAGGCAAAAATTGTAAAATGCAGTCACAATACAAGTCAAAATTTGGACAATCAACTCAACTAGTTTTTCTACTTCTATTTTAAAAATGCATTACTGTGATCACAAAGATGCTGCAAAAATGGTTTGTCCTATAGCAACGCAGGTTGAATCAGTCATTCACTATTTTTGCATGCAATTAATAATGTTCAAAAAGCCAACTGTGATCTATAGCAGTGGTCCCCAACCCCCGGTCCGCGGACCGGTGCCGGGCCGTGGAGTACCTGGCATCGGGCCGCGCAGCGGCTGGGGGACATGAACGCTGCAGCGCAAAGGCTCCTGGGCCGTGCACAAAAGCTCCTGGGCCGTGCGCAAAAGCTCCTGGGCCGTGCGCAAAGGCTCCAGGGAAGAGAGCCCCGCGCAGGTACGCACGTGTGGCCCAAAGCCCCCACCCCTGCGCACGCTCAGCGGGCCACGGTAAAATTATCAAAGGCTGATTGGTCCGCGGCGATAAAAAGGTTGGGGACCACTGATCTATAGTGTTGTTTCAGTTCTCATGCCAATCTACCACACAGGAATAACATTAATCTCAGAACGTAAGATAAACAACCTGAACACTTTTAAAAATATACTCATTCTTACAGAATACTGTGCAGAATTTTATTGTAACAGGGATTATAGATTACTATTCTAGAGTGTATACATCCAAGCAGTAAATTCATCATCATCATCATTGTTCTAGCCATTGTCTATACACTGAAGGATGACTTCTTCCACATGTTTTTAACCAATTCAGTCTTGAACTTTCTTTTGCCAGTTGGTCCCACAATACTTGCCAATGTTGTTGATCCATCTTGTTTTAGGTCTCTTTTGTGGATGCTTTTTATAAAGTGGAATCCATTTGTCTACCTGTCATCAGTTCTTTCTATGTCACCAGCCCATTTCTATTTCAGTTCTTTTACTCTCTTGATTATATTGTATGCCTTCGTTTGTTCTTTAATCCATGTACAAGTCTTTCTATCTTGTCTTGTGATGCTGAACATCTATCTTTCCATGGCTCTTTGTGCTACTCGTAGCTTTTGTATTGATAGTGAGGTTAGTGTCCATGTTTCATTGGCATATAGAACAGGTCTATAGCAAACACTGATTAAAATTTTTTTCAGGCATGGGGTAGGTTGTTCTTGAAAATTACACTTAGCTTGCCAAATGCCTGCCAACCACATTTAACACACCATTCTATTTTCTTTATTGTATCACCTTCCACTGAGATCTGTTGGCCAAAGTATATATAGTGATCTATTATGTCTAGATCTTCTCCAGATATAACAATTATTCTTACATTGAATTTAAACATGACCTGGCTGTTTTTCAGGTTTATTTTTAAGGATATGGTTCTCCTACTTTGTGCAGTTCTTGTATGTGTCTTTGTAACTTTTCTTGTGAGAAGAGAACAGTGTTATCTGCAAATCTTAAGTGATTTAAATAGGCACTATTAATTTTATTCCATCTTTTGCCCAGTCCAGTTTGTGAAATATTTCTTCAAGGCAGGCTAAGAAAAGGATGGTGATATTATGTCACCTTGTCACATACTTCGTTCTATGCTGATTTCCACTTTTAAGATAATTAAGGCAAATTGTCATCATTGTTTTTTCGTATATTGATTGTAGTAAGTTTATGTAAGCAGTCTCTACGCCTTGGCTGAGCAATGCGTTAATTATTGCTTGCTGAAATACTGAGTCAAATATATTTTTGTAGTCAATGAAAGCCATGCACAGAGGCATAGTGTACTCATTGTGCCTTTCAATGACTTGCTGAACAATCTGGATGTGATCCATTGTGCTGTAACCATTTCTGAACCCTGCCTACTCCTTTGACTATACATCATTTAATGTTCTCAATATTCTTTTTCTATTATATTGGTGAAAACCTTGTAGATGACTGAAAGAAGGCTTATTGAAAAATTTCTTTAAATCATCTTGGATCCCCTTCTTATGTATAAGAATCACTTCAGCATTTTTCCATGTATCAGGTATTTTTTCTTTGAAGCATCTCAAGTATAGCTTTCTTAACATCTTATGTAAACTGTGACCACCAGTTTTCAGCCTTTCAATTGTAATACAGTCATTTCCTGAAGCTTTGCCATTTTTTATTGATTTTATGGCACAAAGCAGCAAACTGTTTAGAACAAGACTCCTTAATATAATGACACTATGCTTTAAACATCTGCAGAAAACTGAATTCAGCAATAAAACAGTTAACAAACCTGCTAGTTTGTCACACCGAAACTTAACTTAGAGCCATTTCCTCTGCATAGTAATTTTGTACAAAAAAATATAGAAAGCAAATTCTATTTTACATTTTTACTTGTGAAGAGAAGGGGGAAATGCAAAAAGAGGTAACAACTTACTTAGATGAAACTGCTTGTGGATGGTCATTACAATCTGAAAACAAAGATATTAATTAGATTTATATCAATAGTAGCTTTGTATATACTATATAAGATTTTATCTCACCCTTATTTTTTATCAACTCAAACATGGCATAGTTAATGCTCCCAACTACAATTTTTCCCCATAACAACAAGCCTACGAGTGTGTTGAAATGAACTAGAGTTACTGATCTAAAGTCAACTACCTGGCTGTTAACTCTGCCTTGTTCGGCCGGGCCCTTTACAGGCATCCTGACATCAAAGGCTAGAAAGGGAGGAGGGAGGATGTAAGGGCAATAAAGCCATGTGTGTGTTTAATTGGGGAGGTAGGGAATGACAGGTGATAAACACCAGAGCAGCTCAGACCCAGTTTGTACAAGCATCCCAAGGCCAGACACCCTGAGAAAATATGCAGATTACCTCAAACAAAAAAATCACCCATAGGAATACATTAATTTGCTTAATCACTATCACATTCACTTAATGACTAGCACAAAAAAGTTGTAAAATCTTTATGATTTGGTTAATGAGTGCCTTAGCTAACCGTGTCATGAATCTTATAATGAAAATTCCAGGCTCCAATATAGTTGTTAAGTTGAGCCTATTCCTGTGATGGCGAACCTACGGCACACATGCCAGACGTGGCACACAAAGCCCTCTCTGTGGACACACGCGCAGTTGCCCCAGCGCAACTCCAATCGTGTTTTTCCATTGCGTTTCACTCAATCAATTCCAACTTCTCGCAAAAGAAAAAGATCTTGCAAAGTTGGAATTGATTGAGTGAACTTTTTCACTCGCCCGCTTCACAATGGGGGAGGCGTGGTCCTGTCCGCCTCCTAAGACCCATTACAATGCGGAGCCACATTGCAACTGATGCGGATCTTTCACTCCTCTGCTGTGGCTCCCTGTCACCCTGTTGTGGCAGAGGATGAAAGAGCTGTCGCCCTGTCGCAGCGGTGGTGGGAGCCTTAGTGCGGGAGTGAAGCACCCCTGCACTTGCCTTTGCACGCAACAGGATTCCACCTTCATCGCAGTACATTTGCTGTTGCCACCAGAAAAGAGGGCTGGGAGAGAATGGTAAGGGTGGATTTTGCAGGGTGGGGGCCATCCCCCAAGTCTGGACTTCTCCCTCGTTGGCAGGGCCAAGAGAAAGAAAGGGGTGGCATGGGGAAGCGCTCCCCTCCTCCAGCTGAGCGCCAAGCACAGAAGCCAGGGGGAGAGGAGCAGCTGGCCTGCAGAAGTGCCCCCTTGGTGAGTCCGACAGTGGAGAGGCCTGGGCCGGCTCTTGCAGCAGAACACTGTTCGGCACCTCCAGACATGAGCTGCCGCCTTTGAAAAGTGCTGCGACTTTGAGGAAGCCGGGCAGCAATAGCTGTGGGAGGGGGGCAGTGGAGGTGTCAGAGCTGCTCCACCCTCCTCAGTAAGCTGGGCCTGGAGGAGCACAGAGAGTTGCAGGCCGAGTGCCGGAGGGAGAAGGTGCACTCCCACATCGCCCCAACACGTTTCCAGTGTGCACTCCTCTGTCCCGAAATGGGATTGAGTGGGGGGTAGAGGGAAGGGGGCAGGCTGAAGGGCATGGGGGCTTCTAGGAGGAGAAGCCCAGCTGAATTTCCTTTTGGCGTGCAGTGAAGGGAAGACTCAATAAAAATCCAATTTCCCCCAATAAATGGGGGAAATAAAGGCCCGGTGGTCCAGAGTCCAGAAAAGGGGATGGGGTCTGTTCGTCAGAGGATCGGAGAGGAAATCAGTTGAAATCTGGGAGGGAGGTTATTCAGAGAGGGATCTGCCTGGGTCTCTTCTTCCCTCCCAGCTTTCTTCCCTAGCCTTGTTTTAAGGGGAGGGGGAAGTAAGGTGGGACAATAGTAGCTAAAAGGCTGTGAGGTGGGTTAGGGTTAGGGTTTATTAAAGACAGGGATGGGGAAAAGATGCCATTCCTTTCCCAAGGACCCAGGGAAAGTAGAATAAAAATAGGTGTGTGTGTGTTTGTCTGTGTGCAAATAACTGCCTGGGATAGCTGCAGCCACAAACAACAGCTGCTGTTATTTTTGCTGAGAGCTTCTAAGCTACACAGCATTCTTTTAATAAATACTAATAATAATGAACTATAATATACAGGATTAAAGGAAGGAAGGTGAAATCAGAGGAGGAAGGAAGGAAGGAAGGAAGGAAGGAAGGAAGGAAGGAAGGAAGGAAGGAAGGAAGGAAGATGTGATGGTCCTCCAGAGGCTACTGCATTACACTCCCATCATTCCTGAATTGTGCTGTTAAAAGAAATCTAGTGCCACCAGGGAGAAGTCAAGTTGTGAAAGAGTGATTGAAATTCCTCACAAAACCTCATTATTTAGGTTAAATTGCCATGTTGGCACTTTGTGATAAATAAGTGGGTTTTGGGTTGCAGTTTGGGCACTTAGTCCCTAAATGGTTCACCATCACTGGCCTATTCATTCAGCCCACTCCAGGCACTTGATGTACCAAATGGGTCTTTGCAGTGTCATGGTGAGGAATATACCCAGTATTTATGAGGCAATATTGCTTAACTTTACATAGAGCTGGACTCTGGCTGGCCAGACTCTTTGGAGGTGATGGAGTCACATCTGAGCCTTGTTTACCATCCTAGAAGGAGTTCAAGCCAGTTGCTCTTGAGGAAGTGGAAGGGACCTTAGGGCTATAAGCATGGTATTGGGCTCATGCCTGATTGGTCAAAGCTTCCTAAAAAGTTGTATGTGATTAATGCTTCTTTCCTGGTTCAATCTAGGTTCAAGAAGGGTAGCTCATATCCTGAAAGAGGCAGTAGGGTTACATTTTTCTCAAGAGGCCATCCTTGGACCTCACAATATTAGACAATTTTCATTCGGTCTTCAACTTTCCCTTTTTAGGGAAGGTTGCTGACAGGTTGGTTGACTCATAGCTACAAAGGCCCTGGATGAAGCAGATTATCTGGATTATTTTCAATCTAGATTCAAGAAGGGCACAGCATTGAAACAGCATTGAGTGCACTTGTCAATGACCTTTGGAGGGCTAGGGTGGTAATCATGCAACCATTCTGGCCCTCTCTGTGGTTTTCAATACCATCAACCATGTATCCTTCAAGACCAACTTCAGGAATTGGGAATGAGAGGCACTGTGTTATAGTGGTTCTTCTCCTTCCTCGACTACATCCAGTTAGTGTTGGTAGGGGAAGAGAGTCAAGCACTGCAATGTGGGATGCCTCAAGGCTCGAGTCTTTTGTCTTTCCTTTTTAACACCTACATGAAACCATTGGGGTGGTCATCTATTGGTACAATGTCTGGTATCTAATATATGTGAATATGCTAATGAGACCCAATTATATATCACTACCCCTAGCTGGGCAGGTAGCAGGTTTAAGGGAAATGCAGCTAGATCTTTCCCTTAAACATTCCACCATATAGGAATTAAGAAGTGGGCCTTTTCTATGGGAGCTCTTGCTTTATGGAACACTCTTCTCCCTTAACCTTAACAAGCCTCTAAACCCCTAGCCTTCTATAAAGCACTGAAGACCTGGCTCTCTCATTATAATTTGGAGAACAGAAGAGGAGAAACTCCACAAAGAGAATGGTAAGAACAAGAATTAGTGCAATCACCCCTACTTTCCCTCCTCTTGCATAGAAATTATATACAAAAAGAATTATTTGTGTTTAGTTAGGTTCCATCGAAAACAATATGATAAATAAAATTGCAAATGATTTAAATATATTCTGTGCAACAACTCAATTCATAATTTGGGAGATTCAAACACTCATTTTTCCAATTAGTTCAACATCAAATTCAGATGACAATTATTCCTGTCAGTCAAAATATTTTTTTCTGACAAAAGTTTGATCAATTTGTTTACAGGCACATCTTAATAAGCAAAAATGCAACCAGTCAAAGCCAACTTGTAACATCAGTTTGCACAATACCATAAATAGTCACAAACGGAAGATTAACTGTTACCCAATCTCATAATTTTCTATTCGCTACCTACCAAATAAAATTCAGTTAAACCAATTCAATAAGCATATTATCGCTCTCCCTTCCCAGTATTTTAATGTGGTACTCTCAGGTTATGTTTTTTTCTTCAGTCAAAAGGCCATGGAATTGGGTTTGTTTCATTGATTTTGCTTCATAATTTCAATATTGTGAAGCCTGAAAAAAAAAATAGTGTGTTGCTACATTACCAGCCTATAACAAGAGGAGGGCCTGCAGGAACCTTGAGAGAAGGCCATGTCCACCATCTAAATACAAATTAGAAATTCTAGACAATATTGACTAAGTCCATAAAACATTGCTTCCTTCTACAATCTAACTAACTGGACCTAGCCAGTACACAAGAAATTTTATAAATAAAGTCAAACTTAAATGCAACAGACCTTAACTGTCAGATTTTAAAAGCTAAAAATCAAATTACAAATATAGCAAGCACAAAGGAGTTTTCCATACCTTGTCCTTTCTTTTGTTCTAGAATTCTTGTTTCTGACTTTTTTTTTTTGAGAGGAGATGAAGTGTCAGTAAATGATTTGGATGTAGAATATTTAATATCTTTTAATGATTCAAGTTTCTAGAAAAAAAATAATAAACCAGCAAATAAAATACCTGAGGATTATTTCCAGGGCTCAAAATCATAGCAGAAATACCAGTACCAAGAAGGAAAAAGTGCAACTGAAAGAACCCTTATGCAGTCATGTGAAAAAGAAAGTGCACCGTGTTTGAGTTCTATTTACATATTTACATATTAAGGCTTACATATTAAGATATAGTAAAAATCAGCTCAAAACAAAGAGAGGGGTACCACAAGGAACAACAGTGGATAATGGATGAAATTCTTCATCTCATGGCTGAAAGAAGCTCTTATAAAAATAAAACAAAGAAAAATACAATGAATTGTAGAAAACAATTTGGAGAAAAATTTGACTGGCAAAAGAAAAGTGGTTTGCAAAGAGACGCAAAGAAATAGAAGAGACAGAAAATATTCATGATAATTTCAACTTACACAAACAAGTGGAAGCAGCAGCAGGTGTCTACAAAAAGAAAACCAACAACTTAGTTGACAAGGAGGGAAAAATCATCTTGGATGAGGATGAAGAACGAAAAAGATGGAAAGAATATATGGAAGAACTTTTTGAGGACACTCGGGATAATATTGATATGGGTAATATAACAACTGGACCAAACATCACTATGGAGGAGGTTGAACAGACAATAAAAAATAGCAAAAACAAGAAAAGCCACAGGACCTGATGATATCCCAGTAGAAATTTTAAAATTGCTGGAAGACAAGGGAAGAAATTTTTACTGCAGCTCTTCAATCAAATATACGAAACAGGAAAGATACCAAATGATTGGCTAAAGACAACCTTTGTAACAATCCCCCCAAAAATAAATGCAAAGAAGTGTACCGAATACAGAACAATAAGCTTAGTGAGTCATGCCCCCAAAATATTCCTGAGAATAATTCACACAAGAATATACAACAAAACTGAGGAGTGTCTAAGTAACACACAATTTGGTTTCAGAAACAATCTTGGTACACAAGATGCCCTATTCGGCATTCAAGTTCTTGTACAGCACTGTAGAGATGTCAATCACCGTGTTTACATGTGCTTCATTGATTTTGAAAAAGCATTTGATAAAATTTTGTTGTTGTTGTTAGTTGTGAAGTCGTCTCCGACCCATCGCGACCCCATGGACAACGTTCTTCCAGGCCTACCTGTCCTCTACCATCCTCTCCTCCACTACCTGGAGTCCATTTAAGCTCACTCCTACTGCTTCAGTGACTCCATCCAGCCACCTTGTTCTCTGTCTCTCGTTCTTCTTCTTTTGCCCTCAATCTTTCCCAGCATTAGGCTCTTCTCTAGTGAGTTCTTCCTTCTCATTAGGTGACCAAAGTATTTGAGTTTCACCTTCAGGAGCTGGCCTTCTAAAGAGCAGCCAGGGTTGATCTCCTCTAGGACTGAGAGGTTTGATCGCCTTGCAGTCCAAGGGACTCGCAGGAATCTTCTCCAGCACCAGAGTTCAAAGGCCTCAATTCTTTCGGGCAAAAGTCACTTAATAAATGTCTCCCTTAACAAAACAAATTTTGTGCTCAACTGTAGTCGTTAAAACAAGAATAGAGGAAACTGATTGCTGGCGAAATCTGCTCTTCACTTGAATGCAAATGTGAGAAGAGGCCAAAAATACTCAGATAATACAGAAATACAAAGAGGGGTTAGACAGAGCTGTATTCTGTCGTCACTGTTGTTTAATATCTACTCTGAGTCAATTTTCAATGAAGCACTGGAAAACATTGATGCTGGCCTCAAAGTAAACGGTGTTCAGATCAACAATTTAAGATATGCTGATGATACAGTTCTCCTTGCATCCAGTTTTGGTCACCATATTACAAAGAAGATTTTGAGACTTTGGAAAAAGTGCAAAGAAGAGCAACTAAAATAATTGAAGGTCTGCAGATTAAAACATATGAAAAACAATTGCAGGATTTGGCTTTGGTTAGTCTAGAGAAAAAGAAGGACTGAGCGGGACATGATAGCAGTATCCTATTACTTAAGAGGTTGCCATAAAGGGGAGAGAGTCAGGGTTATGTAATTAAATGTAAATAAGTCAACTTATTTTCCAAAGTACCAAAGGGCAGGATAAGAAACAATGGAGAGAAGCAACCTGGAATTAAGGAGAAACTTCCTAACAATGAAGATAATTAACCAGCGGAACAGCTTGCTTCAGAAGTTGTAGGTGCTTCATCCCTGGAGTTTTTAAGAAAAGACTGGACAGCCACTTGTCTGGAATGATGGAGTCTCCTGCTTGAGCAAGGGGTTGGACTAGAAGACCTCGAGGTCTCTTTTATCTCTATTCTGATTGATTGTAATTGATTCTTTTAAGAACTGCTAAGAACCAGATGTAAAACCACAGAACACAAAGCGGGTGTACTTATTTTTTCACATGACTGTATTTATATAAAACGATTAGGAAAATGGTCTATCTCTTATCCATTTCATTGTTTACAAGAAAAAATTTATACTCAATATAGCATTAAATCGTATTTTAAAATTCAGGTAGTCCTCGACTTACAATCACAATTGAGCCCAAAATTTCCATTACTAAATGAGACAGTTATTAAGTGAGTTTTGCCCCATTTTATGAGCTTTCTAGGCACAGTGGTTACGTGAATCATTCCAATTGTTAAATTAGTAACATGGTTAGTAAGTGAATCCAGCTTGACTTTGCTTGTCAGAAGATTGCAAAAATTGATAACTTCATAATGGGACAATGCAGTCAATATAAGTATGAATCAATTACCAAGCTTCTGAATTTTGATCACATGACCATGGGGATGCTGCAATGGTATTAAGTGTGAAAAACGGTTATAAGTCACTTTTTAAAATGCCGCTGTAACTGAACAGTCACTAAATAAATGATTGTAAATTGAGGATTACCTGTATTGTTCTATTGCTATCTATTGTATCTATTTCTGTTCTAACATCAACAGAAAAATGTATCAATTTCATTTTCTATAAAATTAAAACCAGGATTTTCAAACACTCCACTATCATCTTAGTTCCCAAGAAACTCTCTATGAGGGAGCTGAATAACTTCAGATTGATTGCCCTGACATCTGTAGTTATAAAGACCTTTGAGTGGTTAGTATTGGCTCACCTGAAAATCATCACAAATCTGCTGTTAGACCCCTTGCTGTTTGCCTATCAAGCAGGTAAACTGTCAGATGATGCTATCAATATGGCACTGCAATCTTGCAACATCTTGAATCCCCAGGAACCTATGCACAGGTCCTTTTTATAGACTTCAGTTCAGCATTCAATGCCATCATTCCAAAAATTCTTCACTCTAAACTGATTCAGCTAGTTGTGCCTGTCCATACTTGTAGGTCAATTACTAGCTTTTTGACAAATAGGAAACAACAGAGGAAACTAGCGAAAAATCACATCGAGCAATCAGTGCCGGTTGCTCGATGTGTTTGTTTCTTCCATTGCTTTTCTATATATATATATACCAATGATTGCATTTCTAAGGATTCTTCTGACAAAGTAGTGAAGCTTTCAGATGATATAACAGTCATTGGTTTCATTTGAGACAGTGATGAATCTGCATTTGGAAAAATCACATTGAGCACCTGGACAATCACACTGAGCACCTGGACAACCACATAAGGGAATTGTCTGGGTTCTCAATGTGATTTTCCCTAGCTTTCCCTGTTGCTTCCTGGCCCTGCAATGTTTGTGTGCCAATGGGGCGCTTGGAAATGGAGTGATATCACTCCATAGGCACTCTATAGATATCACTCCATAGGCACTCAAACACTTTTCGTCCGGAGACTGGAAACTTCTGGGGGCCATGGTCTCGCACAATTTCAAGCACCCATCCACTTTTGCAGAGAATGGTGTCTGAAGTCCGGTGAGATCAGGGCACTCAGAAGCTTCCAGTCTGTGTTCAAAAAGTGTTTGCAAACCAATGGGAGGCCTTTGCCTCAAAGCCTCACTTCGGCATGCAAATGCTTTTCCGGCCAAGCCTGAAAGCCTCTGGAGGAGACTCAACGAGACTGCCGGCCACTCCAGAAGTGGCAGGCAGCCTTGGTGAGTCAGAGAAGCTGAGCAGGACATGCTCAACCTGCTCTCCCTCTGCTCTCACTGCTCACCAGGAACAGGCAAAGAAATAAGAGAGGCTGAAAAGAAGACAGCTCACTAGATCTTTGAAAGGGAAGGGAGTCTCCACAGGCCTGCTTGTGGAGATCCAGTGTAGCAGGATGGTGGGGGGAAGCAATTGCATGAGGTATCTGTGGGTGGGGGCAGATCTTGGGTGCTCTGAAGCAAGTGGCCTGTTCCATCATTAAGCACCCCATGGCCTTCCCCCACTCTGAGATACCTCATGTGCACTTAACAACCCGCACATTTGATTAGCAAATGCATGCTCAAAAGGAGGGAATGATCACAGTCAAGTTACAAGATTTACTCTTACGAATCCTTGGGTTACAAATATGGCAAGCTCCATTACATTTGTAACTCAAGGACTACCTGTACCCTACTCCATTCCAGTCCATTTCACTCTATGGTTCTGCCTTACCCAAATTAAAAAAATACAAATACCACAAAAACCTATCCAATCAAAAAGCTATACAAAGTATCAGAATCAACTATAGGTGGAAGCAATTTATTGAAGTGGATCTCCTCATCCCATTTATTTTCTATGATAATTTTTCATAAGGGGCTACAGTTTACTATTATTTTATTGCTGTCCTACAGGTTTTCCTGCATGTGCTGGATGAAATGGACTATTGAGATAGCCAAGAAAGCTTGGTACATGTGGATGCACTATATGTTTCCACTATTTTAACAATATATTGATTAAATGACAGAATAGCTGAGGAACAAAATCAGATATATTAAAAGTGAAAAATTAATGTATTCTTATTGTATTCTTACAGTATGATACACATTAAACTTCTCTTACCTCCTTGTGCTGCTTTCCAAGAGCATGTGTTTGCCACAGCAGTTCATTCTTCACAGTCACATTGCACAGAGAGCAACTTATATGCCCCAAATAGTTATATGTAGTCTTGCAATTAAGAAAATAAATTCAAAAACAATCTCTCAAAACTACAGCATTCTTTTAAACATTATTCTGAGAAATTACCACTGCAATGCAGCTACACTTTTTTCTGTGACTAAAGCTTGAAGTACAATTGCTATTTTTTTTCAAGGAACCTCTCAAAGAACCAAATGCAGTAACTAAAACAATCTGGTCACAAATTATATTTACTTTTTAAAAATCAGTTTGGATTAGGGTTTGTAAGCATTATTAAATGCAGACTTTAAATTCCCTCACGAGCCTGAATGTTATCACTTCAATTATGTTTTACTGAAACAAAATATGCTGCTTTTACCAGTAAAAATGCAGCAAATCAATAAACAGGACTTGCCATTTGAACGATAGTCCTCGATTTAGGACAGTTCATTTGGTGATCATTCAAAGTTACAACAGCACCAAAAAGTGACTTATCACTGTTTTTCACATTATGATTGTTGCAGTATCCCCATGGTGACATGATTAAAATTCAGATGCCTGTCATCTGACTCATATTTATTGCAGTGTTCTGTGCTTATGAGATCGCTTTTTGTGACCTTCTGATAAGCAGTCAATGGGGAAGCTAGATTCACTTAACAACCATGTTGCTAACTTAACAATTGCTGATTCATTTAACAACTATGGCAAGAAAGGTCGTAAAATGGGGCAAAAGTCACTTAACAAATGTCTCCCTTAGCCAAACAAATTTTGTGCTCAACTGTAGTTGGTAAGTCAAGGATTACCTGTAGAAGTAACTGATTGCTGGAGGAATCTGCTCTTCACTTGAATGTAAACTGGCCACTAGGCTACATTTAAGTATTTTATCAAATCCTTTTACTCTTCCTCAGTATAACATACTAAACATCCTGCCGGATTTGTTGTAGCAGAAAGGAAAATATACACAAGTCTAAGAACTAAGAAGGGGCAGCTTAAAGGAAATGCAAAAGTTTTTCCATCCAGTTAACCCATTCCTTTTTTGATCAGATTGCAAACTCTGACGTACGGTCTTGTGTTTTTGTTTCAAACGTGCAGAACACGCTATTGATTGCTATACTTAAAAAAACACACACACACACACACACACACACACACAATATGCAGGATAGCGATAATGAACTAAAATGCCTACCCTACAGAAAAAGAAGCGCGGAACGAGATTTAGTTTACTGTCACTTCCAGCGAGCAACCGAGACAGACAAAACTCAAAAAAACTCCCTGTCGCAGAAAGGTGCAAAAGGGGGGGGGCATCTCGCCCGAAGAAAAGAGAGGATATCTAATGTAGGGCGAGTCAATTTTCCTTTTCCCCGCAGCCGACTCGCGCTGTTTGGCTCGCATTAATCTCCGCAGCTCCTCTTGTCCCAATGTACCAACAGATCGCCGCGGTTCTCGGCCCGAACTCGAAGTAGCCATGACTGCAAAACAAAACCCTTTTCCTCTTTCGCCGATTTCTCTACCACGAGACTCAAAGGTAAAAATAACGCGATCAGAATTGCGCCATGGTCGCAGAGATTATACGTCACGCGGAGTCTTGTCTCCAAATAATAATTCTCTGTGACTGCTGTTTCAGTTTGGGGGGAAAAAAATCCACCAAGGAAAATGTAAATCTCTTGTAATTGAAGATAATGCCATAAAGAATTTTCTTAACATTAACATTAACATAACAGAACAGAACAGAATTCTTTATTGGCCAAGTGTGATTGGACACACAAGAAATTTGTCTTTGGTGCAGGAATATGAAGCCGAAATATTTAGGTGATTTTTGATGTATATTTATATTTTCCCGCCTTAGATATGAGGTCTGCCTGATTCTGAAGGAATGAGATTTGATATAGCTATAAGATTCTGCTGTAATTCACGTTTTATATAAATGGGAAATTACTATTTTAAAAAGTTTTAATAGATAAATAGTGCTATAATCTAACTAAATAAATTATCTAACTAAATAAATCAGCCCTGTTAGTGTTCTATCAGTGTGTTATGAAACAATACAGATTAACAAGACTTGAAAGGGACTTTGGAAGTCTTCTAGTTCAATCTCCTGACACAAGTAAACAATTGTATGATAAATAGAGACATTTTTTAAAGAAACAATTAAAACAATGGGAGAAGTTTTGGAAAAAATAAAATTTCTTCCATGTTTTTAGTGTAAAAAGAGAAAAGTACAAAATATTTTATACATAACAGAATAACAGAGTTTGAAAGGATCTTGGAAGTCTTGTAGTCCAACCCCATGCCTAAATAGGAGACTCCAGTCCATTCTGGACAAAGGGCTTTCTTAAAAACCTCCAGGGATGGAACACCCACAACTTCTAAAGGCAAGCTGTTCCATTGATTAATTGTTCTCACTGACAAAAAAAGTCTCTGTGCTAGATCTCTATTAAGCTTCCATCTGTTATTTTTTGTCCTGCTGTCAGGTACTTTGGAGAGTAGATTGACCCCTTCCTCTCTGTGACAGTCCCTCAAACATTGGAAGACTGCTATGTCACCCATGCTGTTCTATTACACTAGGCATTCCTGGTTCTCGCAATCATTTGTCGTACACTCCCTACTCACTCTCTCCCTACTTCACTCTCCCTACTCATCTTTGTTGCTCTTCTGTGAACTCTTTCTTATTATTCAGTTGTTAAGTCTTGCTCAATTTTCTGCAAACTCATAAACACCAACCCTCCCCCACAATCCTTCATCTCCGGGAGTTTGCCCAAACCCATGCTCACATCAATGACACTATTTAACCATCTCATCATCTGCTGTCTCCTCCTTTGCCTTCTATCTTTTCCAACATTAAAGTTTTTTTCAATGAGTCCTTTGTTTTTATTTGGTGGCCAAAATATTTGAGCTTCAGCTTCTGTCTTTCAGAAAGTCAGGGTTGGTTTTCTTTAGGATTTAATGATTTGATTTCTATGTAGTCCAAGGGACTCTCAAGAGTCTTCTCCAACACCATAATCCAAAATCATAAATTCTTTTATGCTTAGCCACCTTTAGGGTTCAACTCTCAAACCCATACATTACTACTGGGAAAATCATAGCTTTGACTATACAGACCTTTGTTGATAAGATAATGTTTCTGCTTTTTAATATGCTGTCTAGGTTTGCCATAGCTTTCCTCCCAAGGACCAAGTGTCTTAATTTCATGGCTGCAGTTGCCATCTGGAGTGATCTTGGAGCCCAGGAAAATGAAATTTGTCACTATTTCCATTTCTTCCCTTCTGTTTACCAGGAAGTGATGAGACCTGATGCCATGATCTTAGTTTTTTTAATGTTGAGTTTCAAGCGAACGTTTGCATTCTCTTTTTTCACCTTCATCAAGAGATTCTTTAGTTCCTTTTCACTTTCTGCCATTAGAGTGGTATCATTTGCGTATGTTAAGTAGTTGATATTTCTCCTGGCAATCTTCTGGCTTGTGATTCATCCAGCCTGGGATTTCTCAAAAGTACTCTGCATATAAGTTAAATAAGCAGGGTGACAATATACAACCTTGTTGTCGTCTTTTCCCAATTTTAAACCAATCTCTTGTTCCATGTCTGGTTCTAACCATTTCTTCTTGACCCGCATTACAGATCCCTCAGGAAACAGGGAGGGTGGCCTGGAACACCCATCTCTTTAAGAACTTGCCACAGTTTGTTGTGATCTACACAAGCAAAGGTTTAGAGTAGTCAGTGAAGCAGAAGTAGATGTTTTTCTGGGACTCCCTTGCTTTCTCCATAATCCAGTAAATGATGGCAATTTGATCTTTAGTTCCTGTCTCTTTGAAACCCAATTTGTACTTCTAGTATTCTCAGTTCACATATTGCTGAAGCATGGTTTGTAGGATTTTGAACATGACCTTGCTAGCGTATGAAATCAGTGCAATTGTACAGTAGTTGGAACATTCTTTGACATTGCCCTTCTTTGGAATTGAAATGTAAACTGACCTTTTCCAATCCTGCAGCCATTGTTGAGTTTTCCAAATTTGCAGGAAAGTGCGGCACTTTAACAGCATCATCTTTTAGGATTTTAAATAGGACAGCTGGAATACCGTCACCTCCACTAGATTTGTTATTGGTAATGCTTCCTAATAAAAGCATATCCATCCCCACCTTATATTACCAGTGCCAAACACAGACACAATAAAGCATAAACAAAATATAGTTATTACAGGAATGAAATGTTTGAGAAAAGCTGCTGGAATGACTAGAAGGGATAAAGTCAGGAATGAGAATATAAGGGAAAGAATTGGAATAAAACCAATATAAAATTACATACAAAGACAGGAAATAAAATGATTTGCCACCTGGAGAGAAAATCTGGGAATTCCATATCATATAATGTATACATAAAAAGAGAAGGTCAAAGAGCATGAGGCAGATCCAGATGAAGATGGAAAAACAACATCAAATACACATTACAACAGCATCAAATAAGAATGGTTGAGGTGCAAAAAGTGCAAAAGTTAATATTTTGTATCTTCTTTGACCAGTGGTGGGATTCAAATAATTTAACAACCGGTTCTCTGCCCTAATGATTTCTTCCAACAACCAGTTCATCAAACTGCTCAGAAAGTTAACAACCGGTTCTCCCGAAGTGGTGCAAACTGGCTGAATCCCACCACTTCCCTCGACACCTCAAGGCACCCTTACTGATTCATGTCACCCTCAACACATGCAGCACCTCACACAAACACGCACAACTACACCTCTATCTGAACCTATGCCACATAGACAACATCACCACCAGATGGATTTCAGCTGGCTGACAAACCATACTCAACGAATAGTCCTTAATGGTACTACATCCACATGGAGAGAAGTAAGCAGTGGGGTACCACATTTTAGGCCCAGTATTCTTCAACATCTTTATAGATAACTTAGATGAGGGAATAGAAGGGGAACTCATTAAATTTGTAGATGATACTAAACTGGCAGGAACACCCCAGAAGACAAACTCAGGATCCAAAAAGTTCTTGACAAACTTGAACAATGGGCCCTATCCAACAAAATGAATTTTAATGTGAAGAAAACAAAGTATTACATTTAGGCAGGAAAAATCAAAGGAATAAGTACAGATTAGGCGAGACCTGGCTCAAAAACAGTAACTGTGAGAGGGACCTTGGAGCAGTGGTGAAATCCATTTTTTTTCACTACTGGTTCTGTGGGTGTGGCTTGGTGGACATGTCATGGCTTGGTGGGCGTGGCTTGGTGGATACTACAAAATCTCCATTCCCACCCCACTCCAGGGGAAGGATACTGCAAAATCCCCATTCCCTCCCCTGGGGGAAGGATATTGCAAAATCTCCATTCCCATCCCAGTCTGGAGCCACCATAGGTGGTATTTGCCGGTTCTCCGAACTACTCAAAATTTCTGCTACCGGTTCTTCAGAACCTGCTGGATTTCATCCCTGCCTTGGAGTCCTAGTGGATGATCATTTGAATATAAGCCAGCAATGTGCAGCAGCAGCCAAAAAACTATTACAATCCTGGGTTGTATAAATACAGGCATAGAATCAAGATCACATGAAGTATTAATGCTGCTTTACAAAACCTCAATAAGACCACACCTGGAATACTACAATCAATTTTGGTCACCATACTAGAAAAAAGATGTTGAGACTCTGGAAAAAGTTCAGAGAAGAGCAACTAAGATGATCAAAAGTCTGGAGACTAAACCATATGAAAAATGGCTGCAGGCTTTGGGTCTGGCTAGTCTAAAGAAAAGAAAAATTAGGTGTGACATAATAGCAGTATTTGAGGGGCTGCCAGAAAGAAAAGGGGGGTCAAATTATTCTCCAAAGCACCAGAGCGCAGGACAATAAATAATGGCTGGAAACTAATCAAAGAAAGAAGCAATCTCAAATTAAGGAGAAACTTCCTAACAGTGAAGATAATTAACCAGTGGAGCAGCTTGCCTTCAGAAATCGTGGGCGCTCCATCACTGGAAGTTTTAAAGAAGAGACTGGACAGTTACTTGTCTGAGATGGTATAGGTTCTTCTGTTTGAGCAGGGGGCTAGACTAGAAGACCTCCAAGGTCCCTTCTAGCTCTATTCTATTATTGTTATACTGTTCATACCTCCATCTCATGTGCTCTTCCCTGTGACAACCCAATGGGGCATGGGTTGTATGGTGTATATTGTTAGTTTTGCCATTGCTAGATATTCCCCAGGTGGTGTGATAACTTAGTGATTAAAGATGTGAGCTTGTCAGCTGAAAAGCTGCTAGCCCAGGTTCAAGACCTGAGCAGTGTGACGGGGTGAGCTCTTGTCTTTAACCCAGTTCTCAGTTTGAAAGCATGCTAAAGCAAATAGATAAATAGGTACCACTTGGCTCCCTAAAATGGCTGCTGAACAATAAGAATTTTTATTTTTCCCGCCAACCATCTGCTGATTTTGCTGTCCAAACATGTGTTTTGGCAGTGCTGCTCCCTGGATTTGAATGGGGGTACTTAGGAATGACATATCAGGTCATTCTCTAACTGTCAGTCTACTATGAACTATGGAGGGAGAA